GGTTCGTCCATCTATACTGTTTATAAGATGTTTTATACCATGGAGGAGTAACAAGGAATAGATAGATCGATGTTATTGTATAACATCATCCTACTTATGATGCCTTGTTTACTCTAAAAGGTTCACCACGTACATTATTTTTAATCTATTATACTTTCCCGAACCCCTGCCCCCTATTTTCTTTAGGGGTTGTGAGAGGGTGCTATCGTTATATATAACAGAAATATTTGACTACTTGTGTACCTTTTCTTTGATCACCGTTTTCATTTAGAATGTGATTGTTGCATAGAAGAGATCTAAACTTATTGTGACCTATATACAACTGTATTTACTCCACTTTTCAGCTCTTTATCATCCTTCTTTTGTATGATATTTTCTTTTCATTGATAAATTTTTTCTTTTCGTTCATTTTAATGGTTATTTCATGTGCATCATCATTATTAATTAACACCCTTTTGTGATCGAACAAAAATCAATCACTTGGTATCTTCTAATCACGCAACGATCATTGTTTAGTTACTGATCAAACTTCAATCACTAACTAATTAATCCTGAAGAAACTCTCTCATTCCAGGAATGATCTAATTATAAAGCAAGCTATCACACTGAATTGATTTGTGCATTTAGATAATAAAGTTATATATGATTTCCTAGTAAATGAAAGTAATTTAATAAAAAAAAAAAAAAATGGTTTAAGAAAATAAAAAATAGGCGGCGAAGATTGACCCAACTAAACGATTGAACCCAAATTCATATACTATAAATCTTGACATGCTTCGAGTTAGTTGAGCTCAAGCCTTAACATACTGCATAGTACTACTGATACACTATACATTGTAGTAAGCTCGAGTTCTATTTAGGCTGTTTTTACTAAGGTAATAGCTCTCGAATATTTCAAATTTTCTAATAATTCCTACCTTATTTAATCCTGAAATAAGACATGGAAAAATCTCCTTAACTTCCAAACAACCACACGATTGTTCTATGTTATCATTTGACTACATACATGCTAATTTCTGTTATTAGTCAATTGATCATATCATCGTATGATTATACATGTCCATTCTAAAGGAAATGTTTTCTAAGTCAATATCTTTGGTGACTTGAAAGAAATTGGCATCAAGTCAATAACATGCGTAGAATTTAATCAACCAAATTACACACAAAAATTTGCAACCAAAAAAAAATAAAAAAAAATTAAAAAATTACTCTTACAACAAAAGAAAAGGAACAATAGTTTAACATGTAATTAAGTAGATTAAGTTAAATAATAAATTAAAGTAAATTTTTAGGCATGAACTAGTAACCAAGGAAGAGCTCACTTGAACCTCACCATCTTCCTAATTTCAATTTCATTATCTACAAGGGCAGAATCAGAATATTACTTTTGACAGGGCCATCTTAACCATCTTTAGGGCCCTGTGCTAATTTTTAAAATGGGCCATTTGAATTTTAATAAATTAACTCTGTGCAATTTTTCTTTCTTTATTATCAAGGAGAAAAAAATAAAAGGCATGGATAAAGTTTAAAGGGTGTTAAACAAGTAAAAGCCATAATATAACATTATAATACACTTTCTTCAGTTTTTTTTCCCTCTAATGAAAAGTGAAAATAGAATTTGAAAATGGGAGAATAAACACTAATGAATTTTGAGTCAGAGGGGTGATAATAAAGTGGAAAAGAAGTGAAGAATTGATGAGATAATTTATTTTTTTAACTTTATAATTGGTAATTGTTGAAAATATAATCTAAAAATTGAAGGTTTATGCGTGAGTTGGAAAAAGATAAAAAAAAAAAAAAAAAAAAAAAGTAGAAAAACCTTCATAAGCATCGAACATGCGACCAAGGGCATGATTACTTTAAAATGCGTTGTCAACCACTACAAACTCTACCAAACACAAGGTGTAATATGCATTAAATTACTTAGATAGTTACATATAATATAACTGAGGCCCTTTTAGTTTAAGGGCGCTGTGCTAAGGCCCACCTTGCACTGTACACACCCTCTTAGACGGGCCTGACTTTTGCGGGACCAAAATCTTTCTTTGACTTTTATAAGGGCATTTCTTTGACTTTTATAAGGGCAAGTAAAAAATTTAACCTTTTCAATTAAAGTTTAAACAGTTTTACCTTAATTTTATTTAAAATTCGAAAATTGGGGGTGTTGAAGCTTCCACTGCCGGTCCCCCTATATTCCATTGGATTATATATGAGTATGAGTTTATGTCTTTCATCCAATATAATGATTTAAGTTACATACTACCTCTTTTTTTTTTAATTGACACGTTTTGACTTTAGCACTATTCACACACCTCCCTTTAACCGTGTTTTGTGCTTTATATGTAATGAAAAATATAGTCATGTGAGATCTTAGATTCGTCACGATATATATTTTAAATATATCAACTTTTTTATAATTTTTTCTTATCGGTAATTAAAGATATGAATGGTTGAAGTTAAGCATTGACAAATATGACAAAAGAAACGTGTCAATTAAAAAGAAACAAAGGAAATATATGGTTTAATTTCCTTATAAAAAAGTAAAATAATTGCGTGTTACTTTAACCTTAGGATATGTGTTGTGTTTTTTTTTTTTTTTTAATGTTTTTTTTTTGTTTTATTTGTAAGAAAAAATTGGAATAGAAGAGTATATTGAAACTTTGAAAGCCCATAAGGCTATAACCATTGAATCACCCTATCGAAGTGGAACCCTAAAAAGAAGTTCATGAGTGAGAGGAATGACTAAGATTGCTAAAGCAAGGTCCAAGAGTGAGAGGAATGACTAAGATTGCTAAAGGCTGCTTGAAGGTGGACTATATTTCTCTACCAAATCGCCTCGAATGCCATCTAAGCAAATAACCCTAGTTCTTAATTATGGTTAAATTATGTGATTTGCCAGTGATTGAAGGTGGTTAGCGAGTTGGAGCTGCAGAAAGCATATTGTTTTGGAGGAATACCCCGGGGCTAATGATGGAGGCCAGGTAGTGTCAAAACCACACGTTCAACCCGAGGTCAATCGAGACGAAAAATGGTTATTAATGCAAATCAACTTTGAAACAGGCAAATTGCATGATAACTAATTGTTAGTTAGCATGCATGCTATCTCCCAAGGTCGTTAGCTATTTATGATGTATGATAGTTTAAGGTAACGTCTTTCTTCGTTTCACTAAAATTGGAGCAACAATAATCCTGCAAACAAATTCAACGAATGATAATCGTAATTAAATGTAATTAATAAATCGTAATTATGTTTCCATCTGGCTATGGCTAATCAACATGTTTTTTCTTCTCATGTTGATTGCGATGTTGAAGGTATCCCATCCATGGGTTGTAGTAGCTTATGTATATTACTTTCTTCAACACTTACACAAGGTGATGATGCCATATAATAGCTACATTAAATGTTTGGGCAACTTTCACTTGGTTCTTAACCACATAAAAAGTAAAGATGATACGTTTTGAGGTACACTTATAAAGAATCATTAAACACTAATCGTTTAGTGTGTATTAAGAGAAAAATAGTTATTACAAGCATTTACAACTAAATTAAACATGGTGTTATTACAACTACATTATTCTCAAACTATTGTGAGTTTGATAGACACAAGTAGACCTGGCAATCCTGACTCAGACCCGATGACCCGACTTATGACCCGAAATTGACCCAAAAACATCGACCCGAAACCCGAAATTGACCCGACTTGAAAATGGAGTTGACCCGATCTTGACCCGACACCCGAACTGACCCGACCTAAAGTTGACTCGACCCGGAATTGACCCAAAGTGTTTGATCCGAACAAACCCGATACCCAAAATTGACCTGAATAGACCCGATATCCGAAATATCCCGAACTAAAATTACTTTATAATTAAACTAAAAATGTCTGGTGCCAAAAATAACTCAAATTGTTCATCTTCAACCATACCAAGCTCATAAACCGAATTGATAATTCTGATTATAACAATAACAAATTATAAAATTATTGATTTAAGGTTCATCTATAAATGGAACAACCCAAACATGACTTGACCTGATTTTGACCCGACCCGAATATGACCCAAATATCCTTGACCTAAAAATGGTCTGATCCGAATGACCCGACCCAAACTCGACTCGATACCTGATCCGAATCATACACGAAACACGAAATGACCCGACCCAAATGTTAACTGACCCGAAATGACCCGACAAGTAATCGACCCGAACTACCCATTTACCAGGTCTAGACACAAGTTTGACACAACTAATTATACCACAAACTAATGATTAAAGATAAGAATCTCAATTCATTTAATATGATCATTAATAACGACGCTCTTATTAATAAAAGTCTTAACCACCCAAAACACTTTACTCCTCACATGCATGTACCCTAAACTTATAAATTTACACTTGATCCATCAAGAACTTAGGATCAATTTCCTAAATAAGTAACAATTTACTTACATAACATGATATGACAAGATTTTCAAAGTTCTTAATCTGTGAACTTTTTCTCTCCGTCCCTACAAGCAATGTTGTTTCCAAATACCAAAAGATCTTCTCTGTAGCTAAGCAATGAGGTCATACATACACTCAATTAGTCAATTATAGATAACAAAATAAAGAAAAAAAAGAAAATAAAAATCACAACTTGATCTTGACAAATGACAATTGAAAACCACGCAAACACATTTATTCACTAACAAGTGTGTGTGGCATTTTGGGAGTTTGCAATCACATAAAAACATTATTAGTTGCACTTGCCCAAAGTTTATAATTTCTTGCAAATTAGATGGCATCACATTCACATAAAAACTTTATAATAAAAGTTTTTTCAACAACAACATCTAACCAACTCATCAACAGATAATTTAATTCCCTGAAAATTTTATGACCACAAAATTTGTACACTTTTGTTAATGTCCACATATAAGTGTACCCTACTAAGATGTGTTGGGCTAATTTGTGCCCTTAATTTGATCGTGTAAAAATCTTGAATCCTTATCTTTTAATTCAGACAATCCAACATCAATTTCTCCACCATTCAAGTTTGTTTCTCTCTCCTATAATTTTTTTGTATGATTTATACCCCAATTTCATTCACATTTATATTTCCTCTTCTTTTCTTTCTTATCTCTAAGAAAGAATATACAAAGAGTTAAGCTTCAAGTATAAGTATTTTTTCCATCTTTTTGATTGAAATAAACTCTGGGTTTTGTTAATTTGCTGGAATTTTCATCTGGGTGTATCTTAGTTTTTGAAAATATTGCAATATTGAGTGAGAAATTTGGGATTTTGTAGAGAAAAAAACAGAGTAGAAACAGGGAATTGAAAAACAGAGTAAAAAAAGTTGATAAGATGAAAATTCAGTGTGATGTCTGTGAGAGAAATCCAGCAACAGTAATTTGTTGTGCAGATGAAGCTGCGCTTTGTGCAAAATGTGATACAGAAGTTCATGCAGCAAATAAGCTTGCTAGTAAGCATCAAAGACTTCAGCTTAATTGTCTTTCTAGCAAACTTCCTATTTGTGATATTTGCCAGGTAATTTCTCTTTAACCAAATTTTTATTTGATAAATGTAAATTATAGTTATATTAGGTTAGGTTAGTACTCGTGTGATATACGAATTATTTTGAATAAAAGTTAGGGATTAAGATGACTTTGGTTCATAGTTTACTCTTTAACATGTTGATTAAAAAACTTTGACTAAATTAAATAGACAAATTAACTAGTTTTATATGGCTAAGGATTATACTATTTTATCATATGAAGTGAATATTTAAACGAAGTATAAGTAATATAACTACATCACCAAAAAGGTCCACTTTGTTTACTTAGTTTAAGGGACCTATAGTATTATATCATATGAAGTGATCTAGTGATTTGTTCAAGATTTTATTGCCAATTTTATCAAATCTACTTGGGAATTGGGACACTATTAGTTAGCTAATTAACAAGTGTTTCCTCTTTTTGCGAGTTATCTACTATAGAAGTTATATCCATACGATGTTACTCTCGGATTTGGGTATCCGTATCTTACTTGATCTGCTTAATTGGTCTAAAAACTAGGGGGTTGAAGTATCCTACCCATTTCCATAGGTTAAATTAAGAGTCCGAGTAACATAGCCTTGCTACCGCAGTAGTTTAGGAACCAATGTTTCTCTATAGATCTTTGAGGAAGGTTCAATTTTATGGATGAGTCGATGAGATGAATAGGTAAAGCTCTTAGTTTTAGTGTATATAAATTGAAGGTGAGAAGTGAGGAGCTTAGCATTTTGCTTATACACCCGGTCTAATTTTCGAGATGCTTTTGGTATTGAATTTTAGGGTTTGTGATCTGAACTAATTGAAGTACTAGCTATCTCAAATCTCGATATGCGTTGCATACTTGGACCTCTTTGTCCAAGAAGAGGATAACAATTTATAAATAAATCATCCATTTTTGGAGGTAGAATGGAACCTGTGAGAATATGCCTAAACTGCCTATCTGAAGACATAATTCCTTATAGGTGTATTCTGTCTGTTTACAATAATTCATGTACTATATTACGGAATTATATTCTCAGCTACTCCATTTTTTACAAAGAAGAATTCCTGCTGATCTCTGCTACATTTTTTTGTTACAGGAAAAGACTGCATTTATTTTCTGTGTAGAAGACAGAGCCCTTTTTTGTCAGGATTGCGATGAATCGATTCACGCTGCTGCAACTCGCGCTGCAAACCACCAGAGATACTTAGCCACTGGTATACGGGTTGCCCTAGGATGCCTCTCGAAGTGCAGAAATGAAACTGAAAAGAATTGCACAGAGCCATCCAACCAAAATGCACCACAAGTCGCCGTAAAACCACCAGTGCAACAGCCTCCTAACTTTTCACCTCCCCCGTCTTGGGCTGTTGATGATCTGTTGGAGTTCACTGATTTCGACACTGACAATAAGGTGAGGAACATTTTCTGCATCCAAGTGATTTAACTCAATAGTCAGTAGCATGCCTTGTCTTCATTACTTTAGTATTCTAAGTGATCTCCTTGTCAGGCTTGTGTATTCGAAGTAAACTAGATCGTCTATATTTCCTTTAATCGTTGACAACTACTAGTATGTATCAGTAGAAATCTTATTGACAAGTTTTTCATTATGTAATGTGCAGAAAGGACAGCTTGAGCTTGGAGAGTTCGATTGGTGGTCAGAAATGAGTCTGTTCGGCGAGCAAATTCCTCATGAAGCCTTAGCAGCAGCAGAAGTTCCACAGCTTCCAATGTCAATACCAAGCAACCATACAATGCAATACAGACCTACCAAGACCAGCCTGCCCAACAAAAAGCCTCGGATTGAGATTGCTCATGATGACGACGATGAATACTCAATCGTCCCTGATCTTGGTTGATATAGCAGTCTGTTATATGGCCTCTTGCCAATAACAAAGTTTTCAGTAACATGATTGCAATGGTACATTATGATAGTACGCATGTGTAAATGTTGCAAATGTGAGAGCTGTAAATTGAATGATATGCTACTATGAGGTTTGTAAATTGTTCATAAATCTCTGATTTGAGGGTATGAACATCATCAGATAGACTTATTGGACAGTAATATCAGGATTATGCATGAAAGACTTATTGTTCAATCGTTCTTACTGCAGGGACAAGCTTCCCTCAAGTGCGCGTTTATCAGTATGTGATTTTAGAATGTCAAGCATGATGCATGAATAGGGATTCATCATTTCGAGTTAGCAATATTGTGAAGGATTTTCCATTAACCAAATCGAAGTTGTCCAATTCAACACGGGGTGTTCTAAAATCCGTGTTCTCATCCAAATCAAACATCACAGCCCTATGTTGCCCCAAAACTGGAATTTCGTGTTTCACTCGAAGTTTCTTGTATTCCCTATTTCCCCATGTGGCCATGTCAACAATCAAAGCTCTAAGCCTCTAACAGTCTGTTCTAAGTGGCTACTGAAATAATGTTCAGTTATAAAAATTCCTAAAAAGACAATGAATCAGATTCGTTGGCGACACCATATACGATATGATTAACACATCATTTCCGCACCTACATCATGATGGTTTTGAGTACCTATTCTAAACTACTGTATAAATGTAGTCTAATTTTTGGGAGGTAGTAAATTCAGGTATTAAATCACCTAAATGCGGAATAAAAGAATTTTTACGAAAAAACAGATTTTCAATCTTACCCTTTTAATAACTATACTCTTTCAAGAATTCCAACCCAAAAATTATTTTAATCATCATTATCACTCCAGATTTCTAGTACGCATTTACAGTTTTTTACAGCACTTTCATCCTTCTTTCATACAATGTTAATATTGATTTGTGAGATTAATGAAATATTTGCTCAAATAGACTGACGGAAGGTAATGAATTGCATTATGATAATATTTTCAAGACCCGCATCTACCTACTGGATGAAATTTCTGGGGCTCTAAGCTACCTACCAGATGAAATTTCCGGGGCTCTAAGCTACCTACCGGATGATGTTACCGGTAGTCACTGCAAATACCTTTGTCAAGTTTCAGGCAACAAGATATGTAGAAGTAAAATGTAATGAATTAATTAAATGGCAATATTTTACGAACTAGACATGTATATAGAAATTAAGCAACCTAATTATGAAACAATAACTACAATTTGTTAAATTAATCAATTAAGCAACCAAAAATGTTTAAGAGATTAAGTCAATGTAGAAGTGGTTTGGAGGATTAAATTAGGGGAAGAGTGAAGAATCAATTAGTAAAACAGAGGAATTGATTTAGAAGAGGATATTTTTGTCTTTTTATTTATTTACATGTTTTTTATCTTATTCTGCATTTAGGTTATTTTGTACCGTATTTAGTACTTATGTTTTTTGAAAACCACTTTTTGATACGATCTAATAATGTAAAAATTCAAAATTATGCTGTAGTATACCATATGCTAGTAATTTAATAAAAATCAAACTCTATTACAATCTTTATCATCTTATTAATCATTTATATATTTACATGCTTTCATGATAATTTAGATGGGACGAAGTATAATTTTTTAATGAAGTCATAAGTTTTACGGGGTACATTGCATTTCCAAATATCATGTGACGCAATTTCATACATACGTAGTACATGTAATTAGATTGATTTATTTAAGGATTTATGTTTTGGTTCATATGTACAGATGTACTCTGTATCAATACCTCATTTTTATTTGGAGTTCAAACTTTGTATTTTTTTTTATTAGTTCCTTTACATTCATCCCCTTTGGAAAATATTACCGAGTTGGAATATTTGAAAATAAAAAAATTAACTATAATCATTCATTGATACATTGAAGAACAGAACATGATAACACCATCTTTCTGCTGATTATATTCATTAATTAGAAGTTTCCAGAAATTTAAAGCAAGGGCCAAATATTGCACATCATACAACTGACCAACTATGGACCTATGTTACACCTAGACATAATGATTAAAGAAAGCAATAACAATTTCATCCAAAGAAAGAAACAAAAAACAGAGAATTTAACAAAGAAGTTTAGGTTGATCTGACCTCTTCTATTGATGCCTTAATTTATTCCAAACTGCCAAAACAAATGATTCACCATCTTCTTAAGCTTATAAATTATTTATTATCACACTTGATAATATTAACAGGATCTTGATATGAAGTTTTACATGTTACTTTCTTTTTCTCCCTCTCAACTTCGACTTTGTCTATATATAAACAGCATCATTGCTACAAACTTCATCAATTCAAGCACATTTACTATAACACAAAACATTTGTATACCAATGGAAAACAAAGAGCACCAGAAAATGTCCTTCTACTTCATCACAATGGTTGTTCTTGCCATTTTCAGATCGATGTCAGTTCACTCGACTACCTTAAGCTCAGAGATAGATGTCCTTCGGGCCTTAAAGGAAGGGATTGATCCCAACTCTATTCCAAGCAATTCATTTATCAGCACCTGGGATTTTGCACTTGACCCTTGTGAGAGCACAGGGGCTCACTTCCTTGGGATCCTCTGCTCGATTCCTGAGGACAACTCAAGCAGCCGTATCACAATACTTGACCTGGATGGTGTCGGGTATGATGGATTTCTCACTAGTGACATTGGGAACCTGACTGAGCTCACCATCCTTAACTTGAGCAGAAACAAGTTTCGAGGCCCAATTCCCGACAGTGTTACCAAGCTTAACAAGTTAACTGCACTTGTGATGTCTGACAATTTCTTTACGGGCAGCTTACCACTAGGACTAAGAAGACTGAAAAGGATCCAAGAGCTAGATGTCTCGCGTAACAAACTTACCGGCTTGATACCTACTTGGCTCACCAACTTTAGGAGCCTCGAGTCCTTAAGAATGGCAAGCAATGGATTTTCTGGGCGTATCCCCAATTTGGCAGGGTTATGGCAGCTCCACACATTAGACCTCAGCAGCAACCAACTATTTGGGATCCTCCCTCAGCTTCCAACAAGTTTGAGAACATTGTCTCTGAGCCACAATGTACTTTCAGGGAGTATTCACTCAATATATGAGCTCCAAAACCTCAGATTGTTGGACCTGAGTGATAACAGATTCAGTGGCAGAATCAGAGGAATCGTCAGCTTACCCGAGGTTGTTAGTCTGAATTTGTCAGTCAACTGGTTTACAGAGCTACAGGTTCCCAAATTTGCGGGTGAATCCACACATCTTGAAGTGCTTGATGTGCAGGAAAACCGCCTAACAGGCCACCTACCAGCAAATTTAGCCACAATGGAGAGGTTGACAGCAATTTACCTGAGTCACAACCAGCTTTCTGGACCAATTCCAAGGAGTTTTGGTGTGAGGCTTGGTGCTCCTTGGAGGCATGTGTTCCTCAATCACAACTTTTTGGTGGGAGGTGTACCCCAGAGTTTGGCATTCAAAAGGCAAAGGTGACAGGGAGCCTATCTCACAATTGTCTCAAGTGTCTGAAAAATGTTACTATGTGCGAAGGAGGTCAACGCCCAGCTCCGGAATGTGCAGGGCAAAGTGTCGAATTTTTACAATAGGAGGAAGCAGCAGCTAGCAAGCAGAAGTAATTACAATGTCTTTCGTTTAGTCATAACCGTTTGTAATGAGATAAAACCAGATGAGAATAACTGTGTATTGATAACAAATTATTTAAAGTAAATAAAGATGATTACTTCATAAACTGATAATATCATTTATGTTACTTGCACTATGCCATCAAATACTTCATAATTCCTCATGTCACATCATAGCAAGTGGGGAAGTCTAGATAAAGAATGAAATTACAACCCTAACCAAATTAGATATTTCAGAGCTAGGCCGTCGAGGAAGTGGGAAAAAGAAAGGGGAAAACAGATGCCTGGACTTATGAAACCTAGAACTCCTAAATGAACTGCAGCAGTAGCCTGTGTTCCAGCTCAGAGAAGCCAGTAAGCACTGACATTACCAAGCCAACTAAAACTGGGAACCGAACCAAAGCAATGAAGAACATGAGATAGTGATGCCTATCTGAATCAGAACATCTCACTTCAGCAAAAAGAACTTTCTTCTGTCTAGTTCTTTACTAAGAAGGTCCATGTAGAACGACTGGTCCAATGCATCATAAAATGGTACGAGTAGCTCAAGTAAATTCCACAACTATCCAGTAAATGATAGCCATCAGAAGCACAATGTTAGCGGGGGCACTTTCCTGCTGCCCAAGGAAAAGTAGCTGACTGCTCTTCCCTAATTAATTCTTCAAGACCAGTCCACAATCCCTTTCCCCTACCCTCAAGTTTTTTTTCTCATCTCTTGATATCTCAGACCAATAACGGTGTGAAAATCTAGAAAATTAAAGTACGTTGTCTCTCCATCCATTTCTTTCAAGTGCTACAATGTAAATTTTAATAAGTAGAGAAAAATTATCTTAAACACTAACAGCTTGTTTCCTAATTTCCACAAGAACCTGGGTAAAGGCAGCCAGGAAGACATATGTAACGAATACCACCAATGGGATATACAAATCTGGTTCATTGACATCATACATTGGAAGTCTATAGGAAACATTTGAAGAGACATCCAAGACATTAAGGGTGTTAAATTTAAACAAAATTGTACTTACATTTAAGGCTTTAATTGATTGATTGATTGTACTTACATTGATTTGCACATACTCGGAGCTGGAACCTAGAAAAATCTCCCCATATGCACCCAAACCACCTCAGATATATCCAGAACTGGCTGCAGAGAACGCAGTTCCAAATGCAATGAGCTGGGGATTAGCAGGAGATCTCAGCATACCAGGCTGAGATCCCACAGTGCTATACATCTGCAACAAAATTTACAAAAACGAGCCAGGTTCAGAACTAGTAATTAAGAAAGAAAATGAGTTTAATGATTTTGATTATATTCTCGCTAACTCACAGTCACGTAACAGAAATATACCCGCTATTATCTTAGCCCCCTTGCCCCATTAATAAAAAATTCTGAAGACACCCTGATTTGTCGAGTCTAACATCCTAAACCTTAGATTTCAGAATTAGGTACCTAGATGCCTGCCACACGCTACTATGGTCATACAATGATGGCATTGTGCATCTCATAGGAATATAAAACTAAGCCGAAATGGGTTGAAACTAAATTAAGTATATCTTAAATGGGATCACAAAACTTGGTTTGAAACTTTGATCCAATTGCTCAAGTGTCAAGACATACTTTCTACCAATGATAAAGGCTAAGATTTAGTGAGGTAAAAAGCATTCAGATTGTAGGCAACTTCATACTCCCAACTTTTTCATGCTTAACTTAGTCAATAGATACCCTAGTTTGCTTAGCAAAATAGACCAAATCCAGATCCTTTTATTTCATTCTATTGAGCTAGACTTCGAATGTCCTAACTTCTTAAATGAGATTGTTATGCTACAATTCTATGTTCAACTAAATTTAAAGAATCAAAAGAAATATTCTACATTTCTACTATCATTGCTCATCCTCAAGCTAACTCAAACCCGGAATTAGCTGGTTAGATTTGATCATATTCATCCCAATTCTAAAAATACCACCATTCCAATTTACAAATTTATAAATAAGACCATCTTACCATCATAAGACCTACGTTGCACAGAAACTTTTGAGACCAAGGTTTTCCCGGGGTGAAACCCCCAACCTTTCCAAAACCCCACCATTTCCATGCAATATAGCCCAAGACAAACAAACAACCTCACACTCCACTATATCTAGAGGTGTCACAACCACACCCAACCCGATCCGATCCAAACCGACTCGAAAAATATCTGATTCAGATTTGGACTCGCGCGGACACAATATTTTAGCATCATTCAACTTTAAAAATTGCCCCAACCCAACCCGACTTCACCAGACCTGATCCAATCATCTGAATTGACACCTCTGTCTACATCCCCCACCCCCAACGCCAACCCCACAAATTTAAAAAGAAAAAAAAGTTGCAGACATACATGGATGGCAATAATAACTGGTTACACAATAATTCCAATGTAGAAAGATTACATTGTGAAATACCCTCAAGAATTTTGTCATTGTCAGCAACAATGGTCATGGTTTCTTACAAATCCTTGCTTAACATGAATTGCAAAAAGAAATTTAACCAAATTTCTATAAAGTACAGTACAATGTACAAATATTTACTCCGATATTAGAATTAAAACAGAGATTACATGATGAAATACCCGATTTCTTGGAATTTTGATGATATGAATTAGAGCTACTGATTTACTGAAGTAACTGAAGTACTGAACGAAGTAATATGATAAATTAGTGATATAATTAGCATTGGAATTCTCTCTGTTTTGCGTGGCTCCTAGACGTTCCCTTACGGCCTAGTGCCTACTCCATATGTTAATTGTGAAACAAATGAGGACTTCAAAGTTAGCGAGGGATTATACTAAAATACGGAGTAGCAATTAGGGAATGGGACTATAAATTGGCAAAATTACAATCATTAAAACTAATTTTGTGAAGTTTTGTAATCGTTGCCACCAACTTATATCGCGTGCTAAATTAACACCAACTTGCTACAAAAATTACAAAATTGACATAAATGACACTAAATCAGTAATTTTACGTAACTTTCAACCCTTCTACAAGTATAAAATTCCTTTGCAATAGTCATTTGCTTCAAAAAGTTCTTAATGCGTTGCAAAGATAAGACTATGTAGATGTCATATGTAGAGTATTATTAAATGTTTAGCACCTTTAAGGTCAATTTTATTCTTTTTTGGGCAAGTTAGTGTCAATCTAACAAATAACACAAGTTCGTGTCAATATTTGCAAGAAACTCTTAAGTTGGTGTCAATGAGTGTAATTTTGCGAATTTTAGCAAGGATAATTGAAGTAATACAAAATTTATCCCTACAATGTACAAGGTATCAAACACGTGACTTCGAAATGAAAATTAAAAAATCAATCAAATCCAACCTTTCGTGAGGGTTGACCCTTGAGAGGAAAGAATTTAATTTATTTTTTCCTTTTTGTTCTTCACATTAAAGGAACACAAAGTACACAAAATTTCTAATAACAAGATTTATAAGAGGGAAAATTTGTCTGAAAAAACCTTTTAAAAGCACCATTTTGCGAAATAAAACCTTTTAAAAGCTTTTTGGTTAAAAAAAACCACCACGTTCATTTTTTTTTTTTTTTGCGAGAGGAAACCCATTTCCTTAATTACCCTCTAATTAACTTAATTAGACTCTAATTTCCTCCCATTTCTTCTAAATAACCTCTAACCCATCAAATTACTAAATAATTAGATTTAATTTATATTTCTTCTAAATAGTTAATTATTATTTTTAAACAGAGCAGAACAGATAATATAGTAGAGCAGATTTCAGCAAAGCCGAGTAGGACAGGGCAGAGTAAAGCAGAACAACTCAAAAAAACTGGCCTAACTTGGATTTTCTCCACTTCTATGGTCACAAGGGGGAAAAAAACATAAAAAAAAAAAAAAAAAAAAAAAAATAAAAATAAAAAAATGACCGTACGAACTAGTGAAACTAAGTCCAATTGAATTTTTATTAAGGTAGTCGGAGCAATTGTAGCCTGATCAATCGATCATGGAGCGCGCGCAGATGGAAGAAGCATTAAGGGTCTTAAATAAGGGTCTTTCTCAAATCAAATGGCGCCTTAAATCTTCATCAAAGCTTCGTCTTGAGATTGGTTTGCTCCCCAAACTTCAATTTCATTTCTGGGTTTCTGGGATGTGTTTACATTTTCCTATCAATTTGATGTTTACTTTGCAATTTTTGTTCAATTTATAGCATACCCACTTCTGGATTAATAATCCCATTTCAGTGATTTTATATGTGAATTATTCATGATTATTTCAGGCTTTTATGAAATAGAATTTTGCTGTATGCTCTAAAATTTTGTCTTTTTAGGGAAAAATTTGATTTTTATGTGCATTGATTTTTTATTAGTTGATTTGCATAATATAATGATGGTATTAGAGAAAATGAAACATAAATGATGTAAAATCAGTGACTTTATGAATTTGGTGTTGTAGATGTTTTGGCATTATGTTCAGGAATGAGGCCTCTTGTGATGGTTGACTATGGTGGGAAGATGCCTGAGCTGCAAGAGCATTTGTGTTCCCTTATTGACCTTATTCACAAGGTTTTTGCTTCAAAACTTCTCGTTTTGTTTGGATCTTTAATTATTTGAACTAACACTCTGACGTGGGTATGGACACTTGACACTTAATTACGACCAGAAATTTCTATTATAACTGAATTTGACAATTGAACTTGTACCTGTGTTCGAGTCTAGTGTAATTAATTTATGTAGTAGGTAGCAATGTAGCATTAGATATCAGAAACTATACAAAAATGTAACGGAAATTTAAAATTGTAGTGATCAGTTGATCTACTTTTCCTATTAGAGAGACTATATGACTAATAATATGAGTGGCGGTGAAGGATATGCTAGAAAGCAAGAAAACATTTTTGTGACTATTGAGTCATTGATCTCTTCATAGTAATAAATCTAGTCTCAATTATGTTGCACTTCTTTCTTTTGCAATTTTTATGTTTACTATGACTATCTCAAACTTTGTACTATAATGCATTGATGATAGAAAGTAATAGCCGAACTTCATGAGATTTTGCATCCGAAGTCAATTGTGGTCAATTGCTTTGTAGAAGAGGAAGTAATTTCAAAAACTGTTTCAATCAATTTTTAACATTAACGAGAATTTTCATGTACTGTATGGTATAGGCACAATTTTTTGTGTTAGCAACATCCTTCTTCATAGATCTTGAGTGACTTAGTATGTGGAAAAAAAAATTATTTACCATATTAAAGGTTTTCAAAGGCCAGGCACCTATCAATCTATTATCGTATGCTTACCGCAAGTCCACAAGCAATTTGAATTTCTTGGAAACCGTATACCTCTCTTGCATTACATTTAAGGTGTTGTTTGGTTGACATGGGAAATGAGTTCCCATAGGAAACTATATTTCATGGGAAGTAATTTCCCTTGTCCATTTCCTAGGAATTAACTTAAGTTTGTTTGGTTGATAATATAGGAACTTTGATTTTCTAGGAATTTATTTCCTATGTTTTATTAGTTAACTTGATAATTTTATTTAAGTTAACAAATTTGGAGAGAGAAAGTAAGAGATTAAATTATTAGTGATAATAATGCAAGTAGGCCCCACAATAATCATAGGAATTGTGACTTACCAAGGGGGGGGGGGACTTGGTAAGTTATTTCCCATGTTTCATGGGAAATGAAACTTCCCTTGGAATTTCCATTTCCCCCACTTTGATAAATTTGTGTCAACCAAACAACACATGATTTTTCCATTTCCTAGGAAATAGAATTTCCCATGCTATTTACCTCCAACCAAACAACAAGTTCTAAAAAGAAGTCATGACTTTTTTTCCATAAACAAGTATTGTCTAACAATTCTCTCTTTCAGGAGTCTACTATTTTCCAGCAGTTAAGAGTAATGGTTATTGAAGATATGATCTACCTGTTAAATGTCAGGGAATTTGCTGAATATGTTACCTGGAGTTTAAGCTCGGATGCAAAACAGTATTTTGTTGACCTTGAGCAGGATCCTCCTGAGGTAGCTGTAGAGAACAGCAATGTTTAAGCTGTTTGCATGTTGCTTAAATTTTTTCGCTCTTTGACCTCCTTAGCTTTTGTCTTTCAGATGATATCAACAGCTGTTGGGAGCCCAGCTATCAAGGAGTTGGTGTCTGTTCAAAATCTGTTCTCATCGGTGTTTACTTCTGATGGTGTTAATAGTGATGCTTTGCCAGGACAAAGTAAAGACCACCAGAAATATGCTAAATCTTCTTCTAATCTTTGCCAATTCTTGGAAGTTCTTGATTTCAGTAGCTGCATGCAAGACTATCAAATCACAATACCAACTCTAAACGGGTGATTCCTGACCCTCTCAATTTTTCAGTACTGTAGTTATGGTCATGTTTCAAACACTTGCAATTGTAGAAATGTGGACCTAGAAGTATGCTCTTCCCAGTGAATTCTATCCTGATTATTATCCAGTTTGATTGTAAGCTCATGGCTCTTTAGGGTGACTTATGCTAGCCTTGCCCAGACACTAACCTGTTAACCAACCAATATATGCTGAAAAAGTTTTATGTTTCTGGTAGATTGTAAATTTGTAACAATACAACACTTTAAAGATCTGCTGGTTCTGTCAAGCATGTTTTAAATATCATTGTCTCTATGTCAATAACAATGCAAATTGTTCATGGACTTAATCCCATAATTGACAACATAAATTTATAATAATAAAAAAAAAATAGGTCTGAGGTAGAAGAAAGAACAACTCCACTTGACCACTTACTCTTTTTCTATATTGTTTTTACGCTGGTTCGGTACTTCGTTGCCCTAGATCTGGTTCTAAAAATATGAGGAAAAGGCTACTTGAAGATATGTACAATATATTTTCCTTTCTCTACTCCCAACATCTGTGCATGACCTCTACATCTTGGTTCTGGATTTTGTTTCTTGAAGCACAGAATTCATGTCAGGCTTATCATGTGGCATGTTTTTAATTAAGAGTTTGTGCGCTGAAGAAATTTTTTTAATGCTGGTTGCTTTTATTTAGATATTTTCTGGAGAATATAAGCATTGCTTTTAAGTGTAGCTCTTAATTGTATTCAGATGGCTTCTTGGATATCCAGTGGTGTACCTGTTTGACAAGGACCATATTTCAGATGCTATCTATAATCTCTCAACCAAGCCTCTTCGCCTTTACAAAGTTCTAGTCCACAGGTCTGCTGCCTTTGAACCTCAAATATGTTTCTGTTCTGTTTTTCTCAATGCTTTCTTCCGTGTTTAGCTGAAACTGAGAGTTGACTGTTGTGAAGGATCCTGTGAGACTCTAAACACGAAGAGTACTGGATTGACCATGGGTCTAGACTTTACAGACTAGAGACTAGAGAGGCTTGGGACCTTAGAGATCTAGCTTACTGATGTAAAATAACATGAACTGAATAATATAGAGTGAGGATGTTCTCATAGTTTTAAAATTACAAGAGTAAATTTCCACCTTTGAAACTGGCCTTCGTCTTGATACACTGAATTATATGATATGCTCCCAGAGATTATAAAGTATGATGAGATATCTGTTGAAAAGTGTGGATTTGGAGCAAATACATATAGGAGGCGGTTTCATATTAATGATCACAATAGTGTGCAAAAAGTCAAGGTCTAGTGAGTTTTCATTAACATTCGACACGTTTCATTCTCATAACTAAGAAAGCTCAATTGCTCAATCCTTTGGTACTCTTTGATTTTCCATTCTCACAGTTATGTCTTCATTTCTTCTCCTATTTCTGCAGCTTATGCCTTGATTTTCTAATACCTGAATGTTCTTTTTAAGCTGGTATTTGAACAGAGCACGTACATAAAATTTTTGTAACTAATAGAAGTTTCTCTTGCTCATCCTTCTGAGCATGTGAACTTAGGTGAAAACTAGAAATGAAACAGTGATTTCTTGATTTTGAACTGCTGCACTTCTTCGTATTTTCCAAAGTTTATAAAATGGATCCTACCTTGTTGCACTTGTATGAGTTGTATCATCAGAAACCTGTGATTATTATCAGTAACAACTTGAAGAGCATGCATCGAAATTCTTGAGTCATCTTTAACTATTGTCTAGCACTCTAGCTCTGCAGATCAGTAGCTGGCATTGTATTGATATAAACATTCCTAATGCCTTTCACACGTTTGCGTATAATATAATGATGTTTCTGGTGATAGACTTAGAGCATATTGAGTGACTTTTGCTCTTCTATCCTGCAGAAGTACCTCGTTTAGCAATACCTTACCAACAGAGGAGCTAATGAGGTAAGCCGGGATTTTGTATATTATCTTTCTCACACATGTTTACCCCTGAAAGCAAACTTACATAATTTCACCAATCTGCCTTGTGCCATACTTTTTCTACCGGTTCTAAATCAATTAGGTTATCTCTTTCCCAAAAGGAGGCAGTATGCATACTTCATGCTGAGTACAAACTTTATTTTCTACTAAAAACTTGGCTCTAGCATACTTTGGCAAGTTTAAAACTTTGTATGTATTTGTGCTAATCAGTGGAACTTATTTCTGTTTTATTTTTACTGGTTAAAACTTTGACAGACACATTCTGACTTGAAATACTTAACTTTCATGCTTACTTTCACATGAGCTGATGGCTTAAACTGGCACTTTCTTCTTGCTTTATTTTTCCATTGCCCAAACACCGATAATAATCAGCATCGGTCTATGGTGATTACTTAGTCTAGCTCAGATAATACTGAATAGAGAATTGTTAGCACAGAAGTCTGAGTTGCTCAGTTTTTCTATCTGCTGCTAATAGAAGTCAGATTGGCTAAATGATCAATTTAAGTCATTTCTGTAAATTGAGTGGTACCAATGAATGATAATATTTCTGGTGCATTATAAAGTTAAAGCAAGATATGTAGATCATGGACGTCCCAATGTGCTCTAAGTATGTCAACTTGATATTGCAACAGCAAATACCATTTAATCATTTCCATATTCTGGAGTAATCTCTAAAATGTGTCATGTTATAAAGTGGCTTAGGTAAGATTGAGGATGAATTTTAATTCTGGCATTTCCACCAAATACAGAAACAATCTTTTTTTTTTTTTTTTTTTTTCAGATTTCTTTTAAAAAAGTCCTGCATCACAAATTCTGGAATATGTTTGCTTACATGAATATGGTTACAGTTTTTCAGTGCCGTACGACCTGAGTATGGAAGGTCACAACGAACCGTGGGCAAAAGCGTTTTGGGTTCAGGTGCAAGAGAAACATGAAAAATGTAAACAAGTTTGGAGGTCCTTGCAAATGGAGGTCAGTGAATGCTATCCACAAGCAATTGCATTGTAGTAGCTAGTATCACCTTATCGTAGTAGTTAAAAGTCCAATGGTTGAATTGTGATGTCAATTGTAAATTGTAATTCCAACATTTTTTTTTGGAAAAATTGGTTTTATTAATCCCAACTTTTGATTATTTTTAAATAATACCAACTTTAAAAGGCATTTTCTTTTAACAGGCCAAATGACCGGTGGCCTGATTAAAAAGTTACCTCTTATTTATTTATTTTCTTAAATGACACTTGTCACAATTTCATTAGTTAAAAAAAAAAAATTAAAAACAAAACAGTACCAAAAAAAATAAAATGAAACCCCTTCCCAGCCCCCCACGCCTCCCCCATCCCCCACCGGAAACACCCCAGTACCCCACCCACCCCCTTCCCACCCTTCCCCCACCCCCGGAAAACGCCGACCAGCACTCCACCACCCTCAAAACCTCCTGCCCTCCCCCCCACCCGCGATTTGGGCAATTTAATGTTGTTGTTGACGGTGGTCTGAGTGGCGGCTAACTGTTGCGACTGATGTTCGAGTTGCGCTTGAGTTGGCGAGGTTGAGGGAGATAGGTGGTTAATATTACTAATTTTTCCTTTTGTTGTGGAAGATAAATTGCAACATTTATATTGTTCATTTGTTCTACTCCATTTTGGTTTTAGAGCATTTTTAAATGAATGTCGAGTATCCATCTTAAACTTTTGCTCCCCTTTTTGCCAAACGAAGAAGAATGTGAGTGGGTGTAAAATTTTACCCGGGTGTAGGATGAAATTAGTGAAATGCCTGAAATCATCATCAATTTTGGTTAAAACTGAATATGTCATGGACTACATAATAACTGACATAGACAGCAATTTGGTCTTTTTTTCCTTTCAATGAGTTTGAAGATTCTCAACACACTTACGGAGTAGTACGGAAACTGGTTTGGCACATGTGTAATTGATTTTGACGCACCTTTATGTGAAATGTGTACTGAAAACTATGTTCTCACAAATACAACAAATTTTAATGTTAAGCCAAAATCAAATGCTTAATTTGTGGTTAAAAATGCTTACACTTTACCCTCATTACAGTCATTAGTGGTTTGATCTCATATTATGGAAATCATTGTTATTTGGAAAACTTATTATTTCATAAACTGAAAATAACCATCAATTATATATTTTTTTTTGTATAAAATATTTTTTCTGTAAGTAACACCACTACTTTCTTCCAGTATTTCCTTCTCATTCTCTTTTATACATTTTGGAATTCTTGAACTTCAATTTCCTTTATGAATTAATTGAATGAGGATAGAATTAGTTTAATAATTGAGGGTAAAAACAAAATTAACTCTTTTAGTCTGACTTGTGTGTTCAATACCAGTGCTACCTTAAATAAAGAACTTTAATTAGACAGTTTTAGACAAATATACCTTTCAGAAGTTGCTTTTAAATGAAATAAACAAAAAATGGTGTTGCCAATAATTTTCTAAAACGAGCAAAATAAAGACTTGTTTTTGAAGTTAGACCCACATAATAATATCCTTCAACCATAATGTTTTAAATTTAGAAAGGTAAAGTAAAGCACGCCATTGACATCTATAATTGCCTCTTTGAATTGCAAACCGAAGCATAATTCAAAATATTTATTTATCAATACTTATATAAAAGACTTGTTTATCCTTACACAGTGGAGAAAATTTTAGAGTTGAATTTTCCCCCACAACTTCCTAATTCTCTTCAATTCACTAATCAAATCCCGAAAATACCAAGCAAACCAAGAGATCTAACACACAAATGAATTAACAGTATGAAATCACTGAGAAGCCTTCTTGATGAGCTCAAAGGCTTCGGCTTCTGTTGGTAGAGCTGGGATTGCACCCTTCTTGGTGGTTGTAATGGCTCCACATGCGTTGGCGAATTTCAAAGCTTCCTTCAATCGTGGTTCATCCTGAAAATGTTCATGAGATATACAGTTAGAAGACGATACTTTTACTTGGAAAACAGAACTTAGATTTATTAATGAAGTGTGCAAACAAATAATAAACGAGGGAAGTAGAATTTACCTCGATAATAGAGTGATCATCGACGATTTTGCCTAACAAGGCACCAACAAAGGAGTCACCAGCACCGGTAGTGTCAACTGCATTCACCTTGAATGCCTCCACACTTCCCTTGAAGTTCTGTAACACAAAAATATATTATAATTTAGTGACGGCTTTGATTAAGACATATTGGCCTTGCACCTAATAATTGAATATTCTATTATTTATAATTTTCCCACAAGATTACAGATGATTAAATTATACATAGTCACGATTCATGCACAAAATTTGAAAATTGATGGTCAATTTCATCTTGTCCTGTTCTTGCTAGAGTATCTAGTTATCTGTCTTATAGACTAAAACACCCAACCCAACAATAACATCCCAACAACCCTTCTCCAACATATCTCCTAATAATTTGATTAATTAGATTCGACACACCATCACGACTCCGTATTGTTTATAGAGGGGTGATCTGGGCTCTTAATATGGTATATTAAGAGTGGTTCTGGGCGTTTACTAACTTGATATATGACCACGGGAAAGGATAATTCGAGTGGAAAGCCAGTATAAAGTTCCATACCATATAATAAGGTTTACACTAAAATGTTGCATGAAGCATGGAAAAGGACATCACACTTTATTGAAGACTTAATGTCAACGAAACTCAAACAGATGACTTCATCTATAATTAGATTTAAATGTCGTTCCCACATGCAATGTCATTGTCGTTGTTGTTGTGGTCCATGCCATGGGATATTCTATGTAAAAATTGTTCATTTGTATTTGTATATTACACTAGTCATGCCTCGACACCAAGCTAAATTAATGGTATACAGAGAACAAGTGTAATACAGAAAATTGGTGTCTAATGCTGAAATTATATGATTTGTTAACTAATCAATTATAGACAATTAGAATCAAATCACAAGCACCAATTATACGATGTCATGATGTGGACTTAAGGAAAGAGAGATGTACCTTGGTGTAGTATCTGCAACCATGGTCACCAAGAGTGACCAAGAGAAGCTTCAAATTAGAGTGCCACAATGACATCGCAGTAGCATCATCGACGGTGTTGCTTTCTGTGAGGAACTCAAGCTCGTTGTCACTGATCTTGATCACCTCGGCCTTGTCCCAGATGCTCAAGATCTGCTCACGAGCCTCCTTGGCGGAAGGCCACAAAGGTAGCCTAAGGTTGGGATCATATGAGAGCAAAGCTCCAGCCTTTTTGGCTTCCTCCATTGCTTTCAAATGGGCTGACCTACATGGCTCGACGATCAAACTAATAGAACCATAATGAAACACCTTAGCCTGCAATTTGAAACGAAAAATACCCATTAGACTTTTATCAATTATATGATCGTCCAATCTCAAACCAAAAAGCAAAAATTCAAACATTGGTTATCCGATTTCATAAACATTGAGGTCGTGAATCATTAAACTCAAAACTGTCTAATACAAGAATTTGTGTGAATTAATCTTAACAATTTCAAACAAGATTATTTTGACTTTTACCATCAACAAAATACGAAAAATTTGCTTTTACCACCTTCAAACAATGTACGCAAACAAAATGCTAAATTAGTCCAAAGTGGTCTAGTCACACAAAGTTACTAAAAATATTAAAATTAACAACTTGACTCCTTAATTATTTGATTAAGCAAGCAATTAGTCATTTTGCATGCAGTGCCTTTACAACTTGTCCAAATTAAATTATATTGCAAGTCCACTTTGATTACATATCCACCTAACATTATTATTATTCAATAATTATTGTTTATTGAATAATAATACAAAAGGCAAATGGGACGGCGTCAAATAAAAAGAAAAAAAGCGTCACGAAGAAATAGGGCGTTAATATAAAGAACACTGGTTTTCTGACCCTTTAACTTAACGTAGGACCAACAAACAAGGTGAGAATTGATTATGAGGTGGGTCTTTTGTTTTCTGGTAAATTGTCATCGTATTTAACGATGAACCAATAAGCTTAATCTTGTTGCTTTTTTCAATAAATCACGGGCTAATGTTTTTAGGACTGTTATACCAAATCTTTGAAGAAAAACTCAAAATTGGTTATCCTATACATAATGCATTAGTAATTCTGGTACTAAAAGAAGTTATGGAGTACAAGCAAGACATGCACACCCTTTACGGATACGCAAATTTGCTATGCCGATAATTGATTAGTATATGTAGCTATTATTTCCGTATCTAAATCGAAAAGGGTACATCAGAATATATTCTTCAACAAAGGACAGAAAGAAAGCTTGATTAATTAAATATTCGAAACAAGACAGCCTACTACTCGTCATAATTTTCAATAAAATTCAAAGAATTAGATTCTTTTAGACAACCTTCTTATAAAATTATACACATTTTCATAAACATAATAAACCAAGAAAATGTTCATGCAATCGATTAATTAATGTGCATATTTATGGCTGAAAATAATGTTCTTGATTTATGAATTATTTTTAAAGTCAAAGGAATCCATATTTCCATATTGTTATTACTGATTTGGAGGTGGAGCCCATGTGATATACTCCTACACATCTGCAAACAGTGGGTCCCACTATAGCGCGTGATATCACGTGACATCTAACAATATTTTCTACACTAATCCAAAAAAAAAAATTATCATAACAGCAAAATCATAGTCCTTTGTAGTTGTACACCAAACAGACAAAAGATCTACCACTCTAGTAAGATACTCCCACAAGGCCACAAGTCCCACCCTAATACGACTTATACAAGTTCGTAACGAATTAATAACATCAATCGAATTTAATGAAGTTCTTGTTTAGATCTCGTGGTATGAAGTTTTAGACAAATCTATGTACATTGAATATGATCAAATTAAAATTATTTACGCAACATAAGAACTAAAGTCAATTGATCAAGACGTATATCTACAACCACGTCAACTTTTAATTTTTTTTTTATTTTTATAATTTTATACAAACGTTCACATCTACTAAAATAAATTAGATCGCATTCATCCACACTCGATAAAACAAACTCATAATACTATACCGTCAAATATGCTTTAAAAATTAGAATAATCACGCATTGATTGATGTAATTAATGTTTCAAAAGAAAAGAAAGATTACCGATCGAATAAGGTCGAGGTTGAGCTCATCGGGAGTAAGAAGCATATCAGCACTCGGATTCCGGTAAAACATGAATTCTCTTTCACCATCAGCTTTCAGCGTAACGAAAGCGAGAGCAGTTCTCGCACCTTGATCGAACGTTAAACCGTCGCCGGAAACACCGTTTTTCTTGAGAATTCCGGCGAGCATGAGACCAAACTCATCATCGCCGAGTTTTCCGACGAAGGCGGCTTTACCGCCGAGCCTCGCAACGGCGATCGCAACGTTCGCCGGAGCGCCGCCGGGAGCTTTAAGGAATCCCGGCGCTTCGGCTAGAGAAACGCCTGAAACTGTCGGAACAAAGTCGATCAACATCTCTCCGAAACTCACGACTAAGCCTTTGGAATCGGCGCCATTGTTTGAGAGTCCGCCGTTGTTGGTGGTTTCTGCCATTGTTGAGAGAGGAAGAAAGTAGAGAGAGAAAGTTCAATATTTAGAGAGAGAAAGTTCAATATTTAGAGAGAGAAAGTTGAAATTTGAGAGAGAAGAAGGTGATTGGAAGGGGGTATTTAAAGAGGAGGGTGGGATTTTTTAAGGACTATTTTTGGTTGGTTTTATTTAAGGGAAAAATTAAAAATTGGGATTTATTAGGAGAATATTATTATTAGGAGTTTTAATTTGGGAGGGATTAGTGGGATTAATAGTGAAAATTAGTGGGTAGGATTAGGTTGGATATAATTATGATAAATGATGATGTTTTATTTATTTATCTTATTTTATTTTATTGACTTGAAACTTACGAAAGTTATTGGGGTGGGGACCATATTTTGTGTTGATCCAATTAGGATTAATGCTCCCAATAAAAAGATGAATTAGATAAGAAATTTCCAATCAATTTGATGAATTATTTTTGGATAAATAAAATAAAGAATTACTGTATTTTAATGTAATTAAAACTTATATTGTGGTCTTGTGGATAGAATACGAAAAGATATTGATTACGGATTATATGTATCAAACTTTTAGGAAGGATTATGTATTAATTAAGAATTTAAGATTGGGATAAAGGGAAATATGTATAAATATCCTTTTAATTTGGCAATAATCTTATCAATTATTAAATATCTATGTTTAAAAAAAAAAAAATTCTTTTCTTTCTTGTAGAAAAAGAAATTTACATTATTACTTACTCCCTCCGTCCCATAATACTTGAGACATTGGACTTTTTTTTCACCATTCATACATTAGGTTTGACTATAATTTTTTACTAACATAATAAAAATATATTTTATCATAAGATATGTTGTTAAATAGGTTTTAATATAAAGTTTCATAATATAATTTTAAAAATAATTTTCATTAATATTTAATTATATAAAAATAAAGTCAAACTAGTACATTGGGACAGAGGGAGTAATTTTTGACAAGAATTCAATTTAAGATTGATTTATGTTTTCAGCTGCTTAATATAATTTTATCCATCTATTACACTAAAATCAAATCTTTTTTTAGAAGGAATCTTCCCTTTTAAACTCTACATTATTTTTTTTGTGAAGCATTAATTTGTCTGGAAAATTAATTATATTTATTTATTATATATTTTGAGTCCATCTATCTATAAATCGATACTATGGAGTAATGATTGTTTTTTTACCTCACAAACTATGGAGTATTTTTCTTAGGGAGTATTGTTTTTTTGATTATATAACCATATTATAGGTTGTCTAATATGTCTCAAACCATAGAATTAGTTTCTTTTAGACAACCTATAATAAAATTCAAAGAATTAGATTCTTTTAGACAACCTATAATCTTTGAGTCTATCTATCTATAGATCGATACTATGGAGTATTGTTCAAAAAATAAAGATTTATAATTATAATATAAATATTTTTTCTTGATTTTAAACATTCAAATGGTTTTGTAATTACGTATATATGTTCTCTTATAAGAAAAAATATACTCCGTATTTCGTATTTATTTTTAATTGTATGCCCAATTTTTACTTCGTATTTTGTAGAAATGGTCAAGTATGGTACGTTTTGGCTACTTTCTGTATCAAATTTAAAATTATACCTCAAATAAAATTCTTCATATTCATAACATCATCGAAAATTTTAAAACAAAGTTCTCAATGAAAAATTATCGCCTAAGTTCCATTATTCCTCCACATTCAGCTGACCTTTTTTCCCACTCAATTTTTTTCATCCTTTCATGTGTAGTGACAACTTTATTACAAATGTTGTTATGTGGGTGTTGCATACATCTATTGTACGTGTATCGTCTTCCATTGAGACGCCTTATTGATGAGCTCCAAGGCCTCGGCTTCGGTGGGAAGAGCTGGGATTGCACCCTTCTTGGTGGTTGTAATGGCTCCGCATGCGTTGGCGAATTTTAAAGCTTCCTTCAATCGTGGTTCATCCTGAATAAATCCATGAGATTTATAGTCAAAATACGATACTTTTTACTTTAAAAAAAGAACTTAAATTTATTAAGAGAACTAAGCTAGATTAAATCCCGGAAGCTCGTACAATGCACAATTTTTTCTTTAATACAGTGATTATAAAATTATGAAGTAATGACTCAACTCAACAAATATAAAAACGATACTAAAAATACAAATATGCAAAATAAAAATATATAAACAACATATGATAATTGAAATGGGCAATTCCTACCAACTATCCTAAGAAGTTTAGATTTTATATTGAAAATCATATTTTGGACATACACAATCTTTTTGAATAAACATCACGAACTTTCTTAAGTGATCGCGAGTATAATGTCTACTTTAGTACTTTCTCTATTTTTTTTTTAAGTTAACACATTTTGATTTTTGACATTATTTACAAACTAATCGTAGTTAAAGTCCCGTGCAATACACGGATTTTACTAAATTATATAGTGAAGTGCAACATTAATTTAATAATTATATACTAAAAAAAGAATTATAGTATCCTACTATACTACTTATTTGTGCTCATTTTATAACAAAATTACTTAATGTAAAATATATAGATATAAAAATATTTCGTTATGCAATGCTTCAACAACAACTCTCTCCTGCTTCCACACATTCTAATACAAGCGCTTTCTGGAAAGTAATTTGGTCTCTCCAGTTGCATCCTAAATGGAAGTTGTTTTTATGGAAATTGCTTCATCGAGCTCTTGCAGTCAAGGTGGAACTTCATCATAGAGGAGTTCCGATTCAGGATGTGTTCTGTGATCTGTGTCATTCAGAACCAGAGGATTTACAACACATCTTTAGGATGTGCTCTAGTGAACGAACAATTTGGAGGGGTGGATGCCTCGGTATCCGCTCAGAATTTAATGGAGACCTTTCTCTCTCTGATTGGATCCAAGATTATATCCGACTTTTCATTAGTCAGGATGGGCCTTCTAGTACTCGCTTAGGTACCTTCGTCGGTACACTTTGGAGTCTTTGGTTATGTCGGAATTCTAGAATTTTAGGAATTCTAATGCTACCCGGCCGTTTGATTCTCAATTTGCGGAGGTTATGGATTCTCATACAATCTTTGTTGACGCGGACGCTTCCGTTGCTGGGGATGACGGTGGTGCCTCTCCTCCGCCTAGGTTTTACGTAGCGCAACTTGGTCTGGGTATCCAAGGGAGTGCTTTACTTTCTCTACAAATTGATGGTTCTTGGTTTAAAGATAGTCAACAAGCTGGGATGGGTTGGTGCATGGATAATGGGGACCCGTTGGATGATCATATCATAGGTGGCAGTAACTTTGGTGTTTGTTCCTCGGCTTTACATGCGGAGGCAATGGCCTGCATGTATGGGTTACAATGGGCCTTTGATCAAGGGTTTCATTCCCTCACAGTTTTCATTGATTCTTATAATCTTGTGACCCTTCTGAGGGGGGACGGTCATGGTAACGTTGATTACCTTTGGCTCATCCAGAAAATTAAACAACTAGGCTCATCCTTTCAGGTTTGTAGTATATACAAGGCGGATCGTCACCGTGTCCAGCGAGCTTATCAAATTGTTGGAGAAGCAGCGGTTAACTTAATTAGCTTTAGTATTAATATGAAGTCTGTTTGTATCCTTTAGCCAAAAAAAAAAAAAAAAAAAAAGTTTGAGTTTATATGGAAAAAATATAATTGTCAAAGTAGAAGGTGGATATTAGAGGCTATAAATACTTTTTATGAAGGATAGACCAAAGAAAAAAAAAATTATAAAGTGGAGGAAAAAAATTCCAACCATTGGATGACATGTGTAATCATTGCTTTGCTTTCACTTTTAGTATTAAGTTATTGATTGATTGATTGTTTTGACTAAATAATTTATACTCCGTATTTATAACAAAACATAATCATAAGATGTTGTTTAAATCGTCTCAATGATAGAATAAAAAGAATTGAAAAAGTAGTATATATGTAGATAAGAATTTACCTCGATAACAGAAAGGTCATCAACAATTTTGCCTAATAAGGCACCAACAAAGGAGTCACCAGCACCGGTTGTGTCAACTGCATTCACCTTGAATGCATCCACACTTCCCTTGAACTTCTGTAACACAAAAAAAATAGAATAATTTAATGACTACTTTGACTTAGACTTGCACATAAATAAACAAAAAATTCTATATTATCATTTTTAATTTTCCACTTGGCATGATTATAGATGATTAAAATATGCATAATCATGATTCATGTACACATTTGTAAAATCGTGGTCCATATATTTGGTTGTCTTGTTCTTGCTAGGATTTATATAATTTATTCGAGTATCTAGTAGTCGCCTTATAAACTAGACATCCCAACAACCCTTCTACATACCCTCCTAATAATATGGGGTACATAAACTCGACATACCGTCACTAGTCACTACGTACGTACCCATGTCTAAATCAAAAACTCTTATACGGAGTATTTAATATGGTGCGTGTAGCTAAGAAACTTTTACAACTAATGTAAAGAGCGATAAAATTGAGAATTTTCTATATTTTTAAAAGAGCTGAAAGTAGGAAGATAAAAAAGAACGGAAAATAAAAGACAATCTTTTATTTGATTATTTTCTTTACCTTGGTGTAGTATCTACAACCATGATCACCAAGAGTGACCAAGAGAAGCTTCAAATTAGGATGCCACAACGACAACGCCGTAGCATCATCGATGGTGTTGGTTTTTGTGAGAAATTCGAGCTCGTTATCGCTGATCTTGATCACGTCGGCCTTGTCCCAGATGCTGAAGATCTTCTCACGAGCCTCCTTCTCGGAAGGCCACAAAGGTAGCCTAAGGTTGGGATCATATGAGAGCAATGCTCCGGCCTTTTTGGCTTCCTCCATTGCTTTTAGATGGGCTGATCTACTTGGCTCGACGATCAAACTTATTGAACCATAGTGAAATACCTTGGCCTAAGCAAAGTAAAAGTGCTTATTAGACTTTTATCCAATTTCATAAACAATGAAGTCGTAATTCAACAAAATCAAACCGTACATTCAAGAAATTGCGCCCATTGTAACGATTATTATTGGAACATACCCTCAATTTTTTAAAATGTACGCAAACAAAATTACTTTAACAGTTGTACTAAATGATCCCAAAGTTATCTAGTCACGTAAAGTTACATTACTATTACAAAATTATTACGAAAAAAAGAAAAAAATCTTAAAAATGTTAGCTATACTATCCCGTCAAAAAGAAAAAAAAAAAAAGTTAAACCGAATTATGTAGTGTATGTGTATTATAATTAACGTGATGTCCTTGTTAAGCCTACTAAAAAATGTCACATATCTATTGATTGGTGTTATTAATGTTTCGAAAGAAAATAAAAATTACCGAACGGATAAGGTTGAGGTTAAGCTCATTAGGAGTAAGAAGCATGTCAGCACTCGGGTTCCTATAAAACATGAATTCCCTTTCACCATCAGCTCTCAACGTAACGAAAGCGAGGGCAGTTCTCGCGCTTTGATCGAACGTTAAACCATCATCGGAAACACCGTTTTTCTTGAGAATTCCGGCGAGCATATGACCAAACTCATCATCGCCGAGCTTTCCGATGAAGGCGACTTTACCACCGAGCCTCGAAACCGCGATTGCAACATTCGCGGGAGCGCCACCGGGTGCCTTAAGAAATGCCGGGGCTTCGGCTAGGGAAACGCCGGAGACTGTTGGAACAAAGTCGATCAGCATCTCTCCGAAGCACAGTATTAAGCCTTTGGTGTTTGAAGGTCCGCCATTTTTGTTGGTTTTTGCCATTGTTGAGAGAAAAAGAAAAGGTGGGAAACTTGGAACTAAAGAGAAAAGAGAGTGTTCTTTGAGTATCGGAAAGAAAAGGGTGATTGATGGAGGTAATTAAACAGAATTGGTGGGGCTTTTTTAAAGGAAATAAAACTTACAAATTAGTAAGAGTATAATATTCATGAAAATTCTGTACATCCTTTAAAATGTGACTACCATAATATTTTAATGATTATATAATTTATAATTGATGTATTTTTCTCCAAGTAATTAATTATATTACTTTACTTTTGCTATAAAATATTATTATCAACATTTTATTAATTTATCAAATTTTTAGTTTCATTTATGCATTTTTTATTCTTATTTTATAGTTTCTCGAAAAATATATTTTTTTTAATGTTGGATTAAAATTTTCAAAAATTATATTTGCATTGTAGATTTTAGAATACTAATTGTGTCCAATTTATAGTGTGAAAAAACGGATCGATCATATTGTTTATCATTAAAATAATATGGTAATCATTTTTCAAACAATAGCTATAGAAACATCTTAAGATTCAGCTTCGTTCATCTAATTTTGTTTGAAATTATACTAGTAAAATATAAACTTTGCCGAATTACATTTATTTGAACTAATATTATTTTATCTAAACGTATAATATGTTATTTGGACTAAATTGAATTTATATTAATTTATTATCCAAACTTTTAAAATTGTTTGAAATAATCTGAATTTATTTAAGATAAACTTATTTATAAGAAATTAATTAACTTGTTTTGTCAAAATTGTCTGAAAATTGACATAGTTTTCCTCTAAAATATTGTAACTTCTTTTGTTATGTGAGCTTACGAAACCAAAATTACTTTAATTATATGAACAAACAGATCGTTTACTTTTTTTTTTTTTTTTTTTTTTTTGAGGACAGCAGATCGTTTACTTTAAATTACTGAGTTTAACATCTTGTTGCACGCAAAGTATACCTATTTTGTGTAATGAAGTGGCTCTGTGTTATCATGGAGGATACTTATTTTATGTGGTTACCGAAAAAAAAAAAGGATTATTTTTGTGATATTTATCCGTTGCAACGAACCTTATTTGTTTAAATTTAACATTATTGATATGAAATCTTATTAAAATTAATTCTATTTAAGAAAATCATAATAAAAATGAAAATAAAATATATATGTAGAAAAAACAAATTTTTGTAAAAAAAAAAAAATAAAAAAAAATAAAAATCAATTTTTAAAAAATTTATACAGTATGAAATATTGTACGTAGTATTAAAATAAAATTAAGTGCAGTAGATTTATTTCTGGATTAATCCTTGATTCTTTCCCAAAAAAATAAAAAATTAAAATTCTTTTATTATTTTGTAGAATAAGAAATTTGCATTTTACATCTTTACTTCAGTTCACTTTAAGATTGATCTTAATTTTGTGCTTGTGAATATGATGGATCAAATAAAGTAGGTTTATCTTTCTAAAATTACATGATTTTTTTGGATAATATTGAAATTATTGCTCTTATGGACTTAGGTTTTTTTTTTCTGGACAAGGACTTATGGTTGTTATAGCTTGCATTTATCTTAATATTTATGAATTTTATTTACTACAGCATGATTACTCTATACTTAAGATGTGGTTTAAATAAAAGTACTAAATAAAGAATTAAAGATGAACCTAAATCTTTATTTTTAATGTAAACTACCTCTTTTTGGTAAATGTTTTTGTCTAAAATATTATGATTTAGATAAAAAAAAAAAGGATTAATTGGATGAATGTATTAATTAATAATAGAATAATATTAATTAGATAAGGTTCTCACCAAAAAAAATCCAAGTATATTGGATAAGGTAGGTATATTTATTTTGGATAATTAAAGATGAGGGTTTGTTTCAAAAAAAAAAAAAAAATAAAAAAAAAAAATAAAAAATTAAAGATGAGGGTAAATATAATTTTGATTAAATATTTATTGCGAATCTTAAGTCCTATCTATTAACTGCTCCCTCCGTTTTAGAATACTTGTTCTATTTCCCCATGCGCGGAGTTTTAGGAGAATTTGGAGAAAGTAATAAAATATGGAGGTAGTGGGCTTAGTGGAAGAATTAAAAAATTATAAAAACCAAAAGTAGTTAAGAAAATTGGAGGATAGTGAACATGAAATTAATAAAATATAATTTATGTTGGATCCACTATTTTAGAGAAATGAATTAAATACTGTAAAACCTTTCCAAATAAGGAAATGGAGCAAGTATTTAAAAACAGCCGAAAATAAAAGTGGAGCAAGTATTTAAAAACGGAGGGAGTATTACTAAAACAAAACATGCTTATGTCATCAATTCCACTAATCTTACGTATCAACCTCTCATTAAAAAAATTTCCTCCAAATTTACATATGATATCATTATTTTTTTTTCATCCTTTCATTATACTAGCTAGAAACTAGGACTAAGTAGGCATGAAACTAAAAATCCGAAACTTGACTTTGGCATCAATATTGTTGTATACTTCGTACTACTCTTGGATATTCCTAATATAACAATATTTAATAGATATAGACATTATTGTTTCTTTAGCTTCCACTCTAAAAGTATAAGCTCAATAGATAATGCAACATTAAATATAATTTTTCTAACCATCATTTTAGTATATTTTTCAATAACATAGTAAATATTACGAAGTATGATATAGCATTAAATAATACTCCAATCATTAAAAAAAAATGGTTTATGTACATGTTCATTTTTTTTCTATATATACTTATATAACAAACTTTTTTTTACAAAAAAAATAAAAATAAATAAAAAATAAAAAAATAAATAAATTCAAGTCATGTTAAAAAGTTATCAACAACAAAAGATATAAAAAGAAATATAGATTAATTATTTATCACCACTGTGCAACGCGCGGTACTAATCTAGTTTATATACAAAGTATAAATCAAAATTTCTAATCCTGGTATGAATATCAACTCCTTTGGAATCAAATCATATCAAATACCAAGTACCAAATTGGAATAGAATACTGTAATTATCTTGTTTAGGAAACTTAATCAAATGGAGTATAAGGTAACCCTAAATTTAGGAGTGTTTTCCAAAATAACCCTTAATATTTTCTACTTTTGATCATCTACTGACAACAAACTTAACGTAATAAAATATCCCCTATATACTCTCACACATTAATTTTTTATCTCTACATTTATACACTTGCTAAAAATTCTCGTGCAAATGAATATGGGTAAGTAAACTGCAACAAAAAGAGTTTACAAGTTTTGTAACTGGACTAACTAATTTTAACCTATTCGAATTTGGTTTAGTTTATCTCAAACTTTGAACTTCATAGTATGTACTCAGTTGATTTGAAATCACATGATATTTAAACGTGAGGGTAGGGGCAGGTGGTAAGCCTGTTAGGTTGTAACTACCTCAACCGTCGAAACAAGCTTCTTTTTTTTTTCTAAAATAATTATTTTATAGATCTATATTCTTCTTTATTTTGATGATAAGCTTATTAATGGTATTTTTTTAAATTGGATAAGTAGAATTTTGTAACAACTAAAATCTAAAATACGAGATTTGAACAACCACGTAACACAGAATTAATTTAATTAAAAGTACATGCATAAAACCAAACAAGACCATTATTCAATTATGTGCAACTAATTACAACTTCTTCTTATTCTTTTCTCGTGGGCGATCTCGTGGGACGTCAAAACTCAATGCCCACGGTTTTAATCACATGAGCCCCTGCCGCACGATGTTCAGTTGCAAAAACGAGGAATTGCATTGGACTCCAAAAAAATTGCGGAATTAAAGTCTTGTTTGATTGACAATATAAAATGGGGGAAGTGGAAATTTATGGGATTTGATAAATTGAGAAATAGTTTGGTTGACACCAAAAAATAAAGATGGAGGAAGTGGAAATTCATGGGAATTTCAACTTCCCACAAAACAAGAGAAGTAAATTACCTAACCCCCCCCCCCCCTAAATCAATCAAAATTCATGGGATTTCTAAATTCCAACATTGCCAACCAAACAAATTTAGGAAATTCCTAGGAATTTCATGAGGGAAATAACTTCTCATGGAATGCAATTTTCTATGGGAATTTAATTCCCATGTCAACCAAACAAGGCCTTAAATGTATTATTCGAATCAAAGTTATCCATGTCACCAGGTGTGAGTTGAGACTACTCCCTTCGTTTTGTAATAATTGCAACAGTAGGGTTGACATAAAGTTTTAGAAAAATTATAGGGGGGAACCAAAAGAAGAATTTTTTCATATATCCTTAATATAAAGTATAGTTAGTGGAAATGTATTTGATTGTTAGTAGGAAAGATAAATAATAATAATAATAATAATAATAATAATAATAATAATAATAATAATAATAATAATAATAATAATAATAATAATAATAATAATGATAATAATAATAATAATAATAATAATAATAATAATAATAATAATAATAATAATAATAATAATAATAATAATAATAAAAGTAGTATAAATGGGGTTGGTAGAAAGAGAGTAATAATAAAATAGTTGTGGATTCTTACCAAATAAGGAAGTGTGGCAATTATTGTGAAATGGATAAAAATGAAAGTGTTGCGATTATTATGAAATAGAGAGAATAATTTTTATATTAGAAAAAAAAACCAATAAATAAAATTGGTGGGCTACTAATTGTATAATTAACTAGTCTTTTGGCTCGTTCGATGCATGGGCTATTACTTTTAACTGTGTCGCTTATCTTTGTTATACTTAGATATAGTATTGTAATAATCACATTTGATCTTGAAAAATGAAAAAAATAAAGACTACTTGATTTAATCTAATTGGAATTAGAAGGGGAAAACCTATAAAATTAATTACTCAAGTGAAATAATAATGAGTAATTAAAAAAATTTGCATATATATATATATATATATATATATATATATATATATATATATATATATATATATATATATATATTGACAAATTTGGGGTGAAAGAGTAGATAATAAAATGACTTGTTTATTATTAATTGATCATTAGGTAGAATTTTTATACAAAGGCCATGTTTGGTAATTGGTTTTTTGGTTAGCTTTTGGCATTTTTATGTGGTCAAACAGTCAAAAAAAGTGTTTGGTAATTGGCTTTTCAA